GCAGACTAAAGGGTAAGCCCCATCTGACACAGACGTATGGCTGGCAGTCATCAGATAAATTCAGACCCTGCTGAGGAGGAAGGACAGACAAACACTGGGATTATAAATATATCCCAAAGAACTTGGGTTAAATAGGTCTATTGAATACTACAGGGAAGAAAAGAAGGGTAGTAAATTTAAAAGGGTTTAAGGTCAGCAGTGTTCTCCTACCCCCTCCCCCAATAGTCTAGAGATCATCTGAGGCTGGGGCTAAGCAAGCATCAGAAGTAGAGGTGGGTTATGCTTCCTTCTTTTAGACAGAAATGACTAATATTTGAAAGGACAGTGAGTGGAGAGTTGTCACCATACACATACTTACTGAGAAACTTGAACAAACACTCAACACAACAAAAACAAAGAACTGGGAGTTGGAAATTTTGGAGAATGACCACAGAGCACTGCATAAAAGAGATACACGTCCTTATGGTGGCACGTGATCTTGAACAACCCAGCCTCACCACTCTGACTGCCTGTCGCAATACAATTCTCTCCATCCCTTCCCGTTTCCAGAACACAGACCTCATCCCTGACCTCTTTGACTCTAGGAACAATCTATTCACTTAGAGTCTCAACTTACATTCCCCTTGACAAAAGTTCCATGTATCATCTGTGACCCTGGGCATTATGGCTAATTTTCAGGTTACCTCCTCTCAATGCACCTGATCTGTATCCCCATTCCCATAGACAGCTTCAGTTGCAGTGGTCTCCCTATCTCCAACCCTGTCTGTACTGGCCTTACAGGTGAGAGTTTTGGAAGTCAGGGACACCTGTTTTTTGTATTCTCTCATAAACCTAGCAGAGGGCTTTTACATAAAATCAATATTTCAGATTTGAAGTAGAACTTAATGGTCATCTGGTCTACCCTTCTATTAGACAGTTAATGTTGAATGCTCAATGACTATTAGGATCCTATCAACCTTTAAAATTTCCTTTATGAGATGTTTAAATAAAACTACTAAAAACATTTGTGTATAGGTTTTTGCATAAATACACATTTTCCTTTCTCTGGATAAATATCCAGGAGCGCAGTTGCTGGGTCATATGGTAGACGTGTGTTTAGTTTTTTAAGAAGCTGCCAAGCTGTTTTCCAGAGTACAATTTTACATTCCCACCAGCAATCGACGAGTGATCTAGTTTCTCTGCATCCTCGGCAGCATTTCCTGGAGTCACTGTCTTTTACTTTAGTTATTCTGTTGGGTGTGTAGTGATCTCCCTGTGGTTTTAGTTTGCGTTTCCCTAATGATGTCGAACATATATTCATGTGCTTATTTGCCATCTGTATGTGTTCTTCAGTGAAATGTCTGTCTATGAATTTTGGATTAGTCTTCTAACTGGGTTGATTTTTTTTTTTAAGGGCCATTTATTTATTTTTGGCTGCATTGGGTCTTCGCTACTGCACGCGGGCTTTGTCTAGTTGCGGCGAGCGGGGGCTACTCTTCATTGCGGTGCGCGGGCTTCTCATTGCCGTGGCTTCTGTAGTCGCGGAGCACGGGCTCCAGACGCGCGGGCTTCAGCAGTTGTGGTTCGAGGGCTCTAGAGTGCAGGCTCAGTAGTTGTGGTGCATGGCCTTAGTTGCTCCGCCGCATGTGGGATCTTCCCGGACCAGGGCTCGAACCCATGTCCCCTGCATTGGCAGGCAGATTCTAAACCACTTCGCCACCAGTGGGAAGCCCTGATTTTTTTTAACCATTGAAACTATAGAGGTCTTTATATCATTTAGATATAACTCCTTGTCAAAGATGTGGTTTGCAAATATTTTCTCCCAGTCTCTAGCTTGCCTTTTCATCCCCTTAACAGGGTCTTTCACTGACAAAAGTTTTTAATTTTGATGTTCAATTTATTTTTTTCTTTTATGAATCATGCTTTTGGTGTCAAGTCTAACACACTGCCTAGCCCTAGATCCTGAAGACTTCTCTGATGCTGTTTATCTAAAAGTTTTATAGTTTGATGTTTTACATTTAAGTCCATGATCCATTTTTTTTTTATTATTATTTTTTTAAAGCCAAGGGTTTTTATTTATTTATTTATTTTTAAGATGTTGGGGGTAGGAGTTTATTAATTAATATATTTATTTTTGCTGTGTTGGGTCTTCGTTTCTGCGCGAGGGCCTTCTCCAGTTGCGGCAAGCGGGGGCCACTCTTCATCGCGGTGCGCGGGCCTCTCACTATCACGGCCTCTCTTGTTGCGGAGCACAGGCTCCAGACGCGCAGGCTCAGTAGTTGTGGCTCACGGGCCTAGTTGCTCCGCGGCATGTGGGATCTTCCCAGACCAGGGCTCGAACCCGTGTCCCCTGCATTAGCAGGCAGACTCTCAACCACTGCACCACCAGGGAAGCCCCATGATCCATTTTGAGTTAATTTTTGTTTAAGGTGTGAGACTTAGGTCAAGGTTCAATTTGTTTGTTCACAGATGTCCAATTGCTCCAGCACCATTTGTTGAAAAGGTATTTCCATTTTTTGACTGATTATAGACAGTACTGTATTTTTAATTTTGTATTTTTAACTCAGCACTATGTTGAATATAAGTAATAAAATCAGAGATCCTTCTCTTGTTGCCAGTCTTAGGGAGAAATTAGTCTTTCAACATTAGGTATAATGTTAGCTGTAGCTTTTTGTAGCTTTTGGTACTGTCTTTGCTTTTGTTAACAGGGTAAGACTTTTTTCATAACCATGAATTGGGAAGTGATCTTTCCTCTTCTCTTTTCTGGAAGAGATTGTGTAGAATCGGTCCTTTGGTCCTGAGGTTCCCTTGCTAGTCTGCCTTCTTTTCTCCACCTTTCAGAGTTTTCTTACCTTTGTCTTATATATAACGTCCAGGGGTTTCAGTCGCATTAGCAGAAGGGATAGTGAAAAGTACTTCTCCATCTTCCCAGAAGAGGAGTTCAGTTTTCCCATATTTTAAATGAGAACGTTGGTCTATAATGTTCTCTCAAGATCTTTTAAGCTCAGTAAATTATGTTATTCATGATATATTAAATCCTCATTTGCTTTTTCTTCGTGTTTACTGGGGCCCTGTAATCATTATGCCATAAACATGTTTTCTAGTTCCAACTTTATAATGTACCTACTCACCGCCACATGCTTTCTGCTCGGATGGGGAGAAACAAAGCAAAGTTCTTGAGATGGTATCACTGTTTCCTTCAATAAAAAGCCCAGCCCATTGTACATTTTATGAGGTGGTGATTGCTTTGGGAGGAACCCTGCTTTAGAATGTGGAAGGTCCAGGAACTCCCAAATGAGGCGGAGAGTCAAAGAGTTGAGAACCCCTTAGAGGGTAAACTATCCTTTACCCAGAAGCACAGGCTTTATTCACTAAAGACATTTCTCATAACATTAAAATGCAAATTCAAACACTGCCTGTAAAAACTGACACCAGCATATGTTTTCAGAATTCTTCGTCTTTCCATTTGCAAGCTCACGTCCCATACAAGATGGTTTAGTCTGAAACCAGCTCCACTGGCATGTATAGCAGTGTTAAAACTTGTTCAAATGGTAATGCAAGTGATTGCTGTTAATTTCCTGTTTACCCTAATACAAAAAATGTGAAACTCTATTCATTCAGCCAGCATTTATTCTCCTCCCAGATAGCTCTCCCACCAGTCTCTCATTGCCTCCCTCCTTCTTCTCTTTACCCAGACTCATTCCTACAGAAATGTCCTTCACTCTATTCATTTCTCCCATGCTTCCACTACCTTTGTTCAATTATTTACCAATGGGTTTAAAAAAAATTTTAAACAAATATCATAAAATTTTATATTGATTATCAAACACCAACATTTAATCTTAGCAGAATAAAAATTATTCCATATTTCAATCTGTTTCTTAGTTGTATTTTTTTTTTTTTTTTTTTTTGAGGTACAAGGGCCTCTCACTGCTGTGGCCTCTCCCGCTGCGGAGCACAGGCTCCGGACGTGCAGGCTTAGCAGCCATGGCTCACGGGCCCAGCTGCTCCGTGGCATGTGGGATCTTCCCGGACCGGGGCACGAACCCGTGTCCCCTGCATCGGCAGGTGGACTCTCAACCACTGTGCCACCAGGGAAGCCCATTTCTTAGTTGTATTTTTATAGGGATGATTTTTTTCAATATAGTAGTCTAACTTTAAAAATTGAGATATAATTCATATACCATAAAAATCACCATTTTAAAGTGTACAATTCAATGGTTTTTAGGATATTCACAGGTTGTATGAGGTCCATGGAGGTACTGAGGGAGTTGATGAATGAAGAGGGTGCAGGGTGGAATTTGAGGGAGTGGGCAGCCATGTGATGTCCTAAAGGATACAGAAATAAAGGAGAGAGTGTAGAGGTGATAATGAAAGTCCTGGGAGGGTGTGATCCCTCCATGCCAAGATGGAAATGCAGAAGAGCAGAAGGTCCCAGCAGGTGGAGGAAGTCAGTCAAGGAGTCCTTAGCCTAATAGAGTTTAAATCAAACTGGGGAGCAAAGTGCGTTCATGCACAAAGCAACTGGGACCCCTTCCATGTAACTGTGCTGGTGAATCTCAGGGTAGGGACAGAGCCCATCACTCTTCTGCGGGTAAAATTTGCCTCAGGTCTACTCACAGTTGGCACAGTCATGGCCTCTTCTCCTCGGAGCCATTGGTCATACTATCTTTCCATCCTAAATGCCACCCCTAGAACCTCCCATTTTTCATTGCCCACCTCATGTCCTCTAGGAAATATTCCCCAGTGATCTGCCCACAGTGAGTCTTCTCTTACTGCATCATTAAGGAAATCTCACCATACGGAAGTCATCATATATTTGCCAGCAGTCTGATCACCAGCTGCCAGATAACCTTGACCTTGCAGCCTAATTCATAACCTGCCTCATCTGTAACTGTCAGCAGCTTTCATTATCAACATTTCTTTCCAAGTGATCATTTAAAGGATCATCATCAGTGTAACAGTCTGCTAGCGCTGCTAAAACGAAACACTATAAATGGAGTGGCTTAAACAACAGATACCTATTTTCTCACAATTCTGGAGGTGAATGTCCCAGATCAAGGTGCTGTCAGGGTTGGTTTTTCGTGAGGTCTCTTTCTGTCTTGCAGATGGCCTTTCTTCTGTGAGTGTGCAGGGAGAGAGAGAGAGAGAGAGGAGAGAGATCTCTGGTATCTCTTCCTCTTCTTTTAAGGACATCAGTCCAATCAGGTTAGGATCTCATCCTTATGACCTCATTTAAACTTAACTGCCTTCCTAAAAGCCCTATCTCCAAATACTATCACATTGGGGTTTAGGGTTTCAACATATGCATTTGGGGGGGAACACAATGCAGTCCATAACACCAGGAAAAGACTGGAGATCCCTGCCATAGAAAAAAAAAGATCTAGAACATATACTTGACTTCTATATTTCCATGGACTTAAGGAAGGTAAAAAGTTGTCTCAATGGAATAATTACATGTACACACACAGATAGAATAGGTCATCTTCAAACATTTTTCACATATACCATAGTAATTTTGATAGTAATAGTAATGCTATACAATAGTAATAGTAATGTTATACGATAGTAATAGTAATGCTATCCAATTCCTTGCATTTTAAAAATATTTATTTAACTAATTCATTCATTTATTTGGTTGTGCCAGGTCTTTAGTTGTGGCTGGCAGGCTCATTAGTTGCAGCTCGCTGGCTCCTTAGTTGTGGCATGCATGTGGGATCTAGTTCCCTGACCAGGGATCGAACCCAGGCCCGCTGCATTGGGAGTGTGGAGTCTTAACCACTGTGCCACCAGGGAAGTCCCCAATTCCTTATATGTTTAAGACTGTCACCTAAAAGGTTTTATCATAAGTTTTAAGTTATTGCAAAAGATTAAATGTCTGGTTTGATGTATGGCAAATATTGAAATTTTAAAATAAAACTGTGAACATTATTCATTTAATCATCACCATTTAAAATACACAAGTTCTTTTTTTAATGAACGTAAATTTTAAGTTTCTCCTTGAACTTGTATCTCAATTCTACTTCCCCACAGAATTATATCCTGTTGTAATAATACATTTTATACTTCAGAGTCATTTACTGATCACCCTATCATATTTTTCTTCAACAAAAAAAATAAAATTAGTTTTTAAAAACTTCCTGTGACTAAAGGTTAAAGTGTTAAACATTAATCTGGATTGAGTTACTATTAATTTATTATTCCTACACAATTGATCAAAACAACCTATATATTTCATATACTTTGAAAAGGATAACTACATGTAAAAAGTAAACTTTTATTGGAAATTCATCTATTAATGAGATGTGTGCTTCCTCCACTGAGTTCATATACCTATGAATGAATATTACTTCTAGAGCTCTCAGACACAATTAAACATTAATTTGATTCCTATTCTTGCTTTTATAACTAAGTGTAAACACTGGACAACTAGCTCATATAAATTGTTGGATGAGAATTGGTATACTTTTTTTTTTTTTTTTTTTTTGGGGTACGGGGCCTCTCACTGTTGTGGCCTCTCCCGTTGAGGAGCACAGGCTCCAGACGCACAGGCTCAGCGGCCATGGCTCACGGGCCCAGCTGCTCCGCGGCATGTGGGATCTTCCCGGACCAGGGCACGAACCCATGTACCCTGCATGGGCAGGCGGACTCTCAACCACTGTACCACCAGGGAAGCCCTACTTTTGTTCTTGCAAATCACTCAGTTCTTTGAACTCAGAATTGCATGCTAAGAATCACATGATGATCCCTGCCCCTGCCCCTCCTCCTCTCCTCCTTTCTCTCTCCCCCCACCACCCCCTCTCTCTTTTTCATATGCCAGTTTCTCTCCAAAGCATGTTACACGAATTATTTTATGTAGTCTCCTAGCAACTCTGTAAAGTATGGCCTTTTATTATTCCCATTTTACAAATGAGGAAATTGAGGAGAAGATTGACTCTCCAAGTCACAAGTTTAATAGATGGGAGAGCGTGAATTCCAAGCCAGGCAGAGCCTGCACCCCTAGCCATGACCCGTTACAGTAGGTGGTGCAAGAAAGTCCAAGTCTGTCTCAGTGCTTGGAGCACATATTTGTCGGCCAGTTCTCTAATGAGAGCGAAAACCCCAGAAATAGGAACATTCCATAAACATTGTTTAAAAGTTCATTCAACGCATCTTCAGTCTCCTGGAGATCGGCTACCCAGCAGCTCCTGAACAAAAGACTCAGCTGCCTGGTCGGTGATCTTTAGAAAGCTAGCTGGAGGAATTGTCATAATGTAAAGGTCCTTCCACAGTATTTTCAGGGATTGTCAGGCAGTGTTTTTCACCCTTTCCATCCCAGCAAAGTACAGACTGGCTCTGACTCTCCGTCCTGGACAGCCTCGTATGTCCTATATCCAGGGCTTCAAATGCCCAAAGAGTTGGTCTAACTCAGCCTCATCGCCCCCTGCTGAGGTCTGGTCTCTAGGCTTCAATTTCTACGCCAGGCACCACTGAAATGCTGTTTGGTTAAGTCAACCCTGTGTTAGGATCTCAGGGTACTGGATGGGTATCAGCAGCATATTTCTCTGTTTATTTTCTTTGGATTCTAGCAGTTATATCACGGGCAGTGTTGATGTGCTGGGGCTGCCGTTGCCTACTATTCAAGAAAATGAGGATTGGAGCTGTTGGCAGAGGTCCTGTGTGCATTAGGGAGGGAGGGGGGTGAAGGGTGTGGTTGGAGTCATGTTTGGAAGTAAGAAGAGCCAATGGAAAAGCTTGGGTCTTGACTGTGCCCGACTGGCCAATGAAATGATCCCGTTTGGGTAACTGGCTGTGCAGGCCTGGAGTCTGGCTAGCAACAGCCCTGTACATCTGGCCACACTTTGGCCTGTCTGTGGCAGCTGATTTTGGGCTTCACGGCTATTAACCAGAGTCAGGAGTAATGTCTTTCATTCTGAGACGTCTAAACCCCCAACCACAGGCCTGTGTTCCTGCAGGGCAGAGGGCAAATGCAATTACATCTGTGACCAATTTACACAGCTGGGAGCTCAGCCTCCTGACAGAAACATTTATTTGAGATTCAAGTCTCCAGGGAGCTGGGGAGCCAGACAGGAAGTGAGGTCCCTCAAGCCTTTGTCGCTTGCTAGTCTGAGGCTTGAAAACAAAACGCAACAACAGAAAATGTCAACTTTGGCTTTTATAAGCTAAAAATGAGACCACTCTCTCTACAAACCAGGAGGATTTTCGAGGCAGAGAGGAGAATAAGAATATTCAAATATGGCCTGGCTGCCGTTGAGTAAAGAAGACTCACCCACACCAGTGTGGGCAGGTCTCATCGAATCCACTGAAGGGCCAAATAGAACAAAAAGGCAAAGGAAGGACATATTTTGTCTCTCTCTTCTTGAACTAAGATATACATCCTCTCCTGTCCTTGGACATCAGAGCTCCTGGTTCTCAAGCCTTCAGACTCTGGGACTTATGCCAGTGGCCCCCTCGTTCTCAGGCCTTTGGCCCCAGGCTGAATTAACTGTCAGCTTTCCTTGTTCTCCAGTCTGCAGATGGCAGATTGTAGGACTTTTTGGCCTCCATAACCATGTGAACCAATTCCTATAATAAATTTCATCATATATATATATTTTTATATGTGTGTGTGTGTGTGTGTGTATATATATATATATATATATATATATATACCCAGAACAACATATATATATCCCATTGGTTCTGTTCTCTTTAGAACATTTACTAATATATCTACCAATGGACATTTGGGTTGTTTTCACTTTTAACTGTTATGAACAATGTTGCTTTGAATATTAGTGTATAAATGTTTATGTGGACATACATTTTCATTTTCATTTCTCTTGGGGATATATGTGGGAGTAGAGCTGCTGGGTCATATGATAATTCTGTTTAACTATTTGAGGAACTGACAGTTTCTCAAAGCAGTTGTACTATTTTATGTTCCAACCAGTAATATATGAGGTTCCAATTTTCTCTACATTCTTGCCAACACTTGTTATTTTCTTTAAATTACAGCCATCTTAGTGGGTGTTAATTGGTATCTAACTATAGTTTTGACTTGCATTTCCTGATTGCAAATTATGTAGAGCATCATCTGCTTACTGGCCATTTACATATCTTCTTTGAAGAAATGTCTATTCAGATATTTTGTCCATTTTTTAAATGGGTTGTCTTTTTGTTGTTGAGTTACAATAGTTCTTTATATATTATAGATATGAGTCCCTTATCATATATATGATTTACAAAAAATTTTCTGTCATTCTGTGGGGTTTTTTTCACTTTCTTGATGATATCCTCTGGAACACAAAAGTTTCAAAATTTAATTGTGCACAGTTTGTCTCTTCTTTATTTGCTTATGCTTTTAGTATCATATCCAAGAAACCACTGCCTACCCCAAGGTCACAAAAATTTACACCTATGTTTTCCTCTTAAGAGTTTTAGTTTTAGCTATTGCATAGGTTTTGATCTATTCTGATTTGTATATGGTGTTTGATAGGGTCCAAATTCTTGTTTTAAATTTATTTTTGCATGTCTACCCATTGTCCCAGCACCATATGTTGAAAGACTATTCTTTCCCCATTGAAAGGTCTTGGCATCTTGGTTGAAAGGCAATTGACTCTAAATGTGAGAGCTTATTTCTGGACTCTCAAATCTATTTTATTGATCTGTATGTCCGTCCTTATGCCAGTACCACACTGTTTTGATTACTGTAGCTTTGTAATAAGTGTTTAAGTTGAGAAGTATGACTCCTCCAACTTTGTTCTTTTTTTCAAGATTATTTTGGTTGTTCTGGATCCCTTCAAATTCAATTTCAATATGAATCTGGGGTTAGCTTGTGAATTTCTGAAAATAAGTCAGCTGGGATTTTGATAGAGATTGCACTGAATCTATAGATCAATTTGGGTAGTATGGCCATCTTACTAATACTAAGGCTTTTGATCCATGAACCTGCGGTATCTTTCCACATTTTTAGTTCTTATTTAATTTGTTTCAACAATGTGTGTAGTTTTCAGAGTGTAGTGGGTCCAACCTTTTTGGGGGGTTAAATTTATTCCTAAGTATTTTATTACTTTAATGCTATTATAAATGAAATTCGTTCTTAATTTCACTTTTGGTTTGCTCATTGCTCCTGCATAGAAATACAGTTGATTTTTGCATAACCTTGATGAACTCATTTATTAATCCTAATGGTTCTTTAGTGGATTCCTCAGGATTTTCTATAACCCTGATTAAGTCATCTGAAAACATAGTTTAACTTCTTCCTCTCTAACCTGGATTCCTTTATTTCATTCTTGCCTAATTGCCCTGGCTAAGGCCTTTTGTATCTTAGCTATCTAAGGAGCTGAATTTCTGTTATCAGACATCACAGAAGTGCTCCAGCTTCTTTAGCCAGGCAGCTAATGCTTAATATTCAGCTTACCCCCAAATCGAGAGACACATGCTCCCCAGGGTATATTTCAATAGAGCAAAACAAGTCTCTGGCACTAATCAGGCATGTGCTTGGTCAGTTTACTACAGTGTTCCCAGGTAGCGAGTTGGGACACCAGGAAAGAAAGAGAAGAGGAACAGCTTTGGATGTAGAATCCTTTCTGTGGGGCTAACACCCTTAGCACTGCAGCCAGAGAGGGAAATGGAGGCACTCGCAGAGGAATAGATTGGGGCTCACGCAGACAGAACTGCAGCCATGACCTGGACAAACCTCCCGGCTCCTGCCCGCCATCCGCACTGCCCACTGCAGGTCGACACAGAAAAGAAAATCACTGCTCTTTCAAGCTACTAACCAAGTAAGCTCTTTTCTTCCCAGACTTGGAGTCAACAAATCCTGTAGGCCATCCTAATTAATGAGGAAAGCTCCAAGTCAGGCATGTTTTTCTAATGTTTTCAAGCATTCTGTGCTTCTAGCACTTCCCTGATTGGCTGGGCTCTGGAAGGTATCCAGAGAGACCTCTGAGATTGTACATACTTGTGGCGGCTGTTTGCTGTGAGGTGGAAACAGACCCTCCTCCCTCACTGGAGGTAACCTCGCGGCCCCCATGACTTCAGCAACAAGATGAAATAAACGTCTTGGTTTGCAGGCAAACTGTGCAGAGTAGGCTTTGTGGGGCAGCCCTGCAAAGGTGGAAGAGCTATTCAAAGGTTGCCAGAGCCCGAGAATAAACTGGCTTTGATGAGGCTTATGGACACAATCCAGTTTTTAGCAAAATCCATGCCCAACCTCCTTGAAGTGCCCCATTGAGAAAATGGCTTGAAAATAGGTTGAATGACATGGGGTGCAACATCAGTAGAATAGATTTAATGAGCCAAAAAATGTGGTTTCAAATGCCCCTCTGAGTGCCACTGCCTGGCTTTGCCAGCAGATGTAAAAATGTGCACTGGGGAAAACTCAGAGAGACACAAAGCAGTGCTTATGCAAACTCTAAGCCAGTCAGTTGCATTCATGTTCAAGTCCAGAAAATTTACTCATGTGTAGAAAGATATGTCTGAGCTGAAGAGGGATTGTTTATGGTCCTGACTGCACGGTAGGGTTGGGGGCAGGGTGTGTGCAGAAGGAAATCTCTCGGATCTCCTCCAGAGAGTTTTTGGCTGTGCTTTGCCTTTGGCTCCCAGAAAGGGGGGAGGAGGTTGTTTACGGTACAGTCAGATCCTGATTATTCAGGGGCTGATTATCCATTTCATGGATTCACTGGCCTTGGGCCTCTCCTCCTTTTTAAGGGTTTCCTGACTTTGGGGGATGCTGTTACTCAGCTGATGCCAAATAGTAGAAAGAATGAAAAGAGACTAAAAATATTTTTACCGTATATGAGCAATTCCTATAAAGGATTTGATCAGGAACAGGGAGCAAACTGTGTCATTAAAATAGAAGCTGGGGCTTGTTGGGGGGGATTTCTTTCTCTGTTCTCTGTATGTGGTGTCTTGAGCCCCTACTGCTGTTGGGACTCCATAGCAGATTTGCTGGGGAAAGCTCTGGAAGGCAATGCTCATGAAGTGAAGATGAGGAGAGAAAGCAGCCAGCTGGGCTCACAGTAAGGAATGTTGACTACAGAGAGTCAAGCAAGGCAATGGACCCTGAAGAAACATTTGAGCTCTGACTACACTTGGTCTACAGCTGCTTAGGTGTCATCAGTAGGATTCAAGCTCCATCAAGCTCTTAGACACCAACTGATCAGACACTTGGTAACGATGACTTGAGGGGGGTCAGTAACAAATGCCCAGAGGCCAGAAGCAAAACTACAGATCTGTGAGGACATCTGGTGAAGCCAAACCCCAAGAAAGTCATGGAAATGGAAAATGAAGATATTCATTTCCACAGGAGAAGCTGAATTAGCCATTGGGAAGGAAAGGGGGATGACCTTTCATAAAATTAACGGCAGAAGAATCATATGACTTAAAAAATACCTTCCTTTAATAAAGATTTCTTAGAAGGAACTAACTCTTTTATGTTAATATACTGAAGGCTAAGAATTGATTAATGTCATTACTTTGAATTGTAATCTCTTCATTAACCTCTCTCACTTTCCTTTATTAGTGACCATTTATATTTTTTAATTTCTATGATACATTTAATTAAATGATTGCAATTATACTTTAAATTTGTAATTAGGATTTTAAAATAATTCACAGAGCTTTTCAAAGAGTTCTTCCCTGCTCTGACACTCTTGTCCTTTCCTCTAATCTCACCACTTAATTCAAAATGAAAGTTTTTATTGCAATTGAAACAGAACAGGAATTATATTTCAGTCTTAAGTCTTTAACCTTGCTCTTGATTTTTTCCTGTTGTTATCAGGTTTAAGAACATTCAGGGCTTTGGGTTCAAATATCTATTATTTTTACTGGTGAGGTTGATAGAAGCTCCCACCAAAGACAAGGTGTGTTATAAACTAGAAAAATCGATCCTAAAAGCTTTCTCCACCCCTCACTGCTAGGATGTTGCAGGAAAAAACTAGTTTGACAATAATAATAGTCCTTAAACTTCTTTAGTCCCAGTTGACTTTGAGATTCTAATAAAATTTATGGATTTTCTTCCCAGAAAAGTCCACATGAACACAAAAACACAGATTCCTTAAAGCTATTCTACTCTGGTTAGAGTCTCCTGAAGCAAAACTGGTTCTACAGCTGCATCCATGGGAGATGAGCTTTAAGGAGGATTTAGAAACTTTTTCTTTATAGTCAACATAAAGAAATGAAGGATTGCCAAAAAATTAGGAAGGGAATGCAGTGGGGGAACTCAAAGGAAACAGAGGTGCAAAAAATGAAAATAAGTAAACTCATAGAAAAAATGCAAAGAGAAGATTATGGGAAACCTCTTGTGGTAACACTACATGGGAGTTTATTCTGTCTTAATCTCAGCGGCACCCAGGGAAGGGAGGACCCCAGAGTAAAATGATCTGCAAAATTGCTTTTCGGAAGCAATGCAATGATGCTGACAACAATTTGAAGCAAGCATGTGAGAGGGCGGCTGGGAGGAGAAAGTCTGAATTCAAAAGACCCCAGCAGGAGATGCCCTGTGACAGAATCCGACTTGACAGGCAGAGGCATGTACTTCTGCTGTCATCTCAAAACAGAAATCTCAGGCGACATATTTCGTATGCTCTTGAGAATCCACCGTGTGTCAAAGGAAGAGCAGGCATATGGTCAAGCCACAAGGCAAAACCTGCCTTGAGTGGTGGAGATGACTCAGACCTTCGTTCCTATTCCTAATAAAAGAAGGCAGCTCTCTCCTGCTATGGGATGGCTTGGTTAACTACAAGTTGATTGAAGATGCATCGGGAGTGCCGACTGTCTTTAGACAAATTGTACCTTGGGGTCTTGCCACAGAGCTAGCCACTGGTCTAGCAATAACCTATATTTAAGGGGTTTGGCAAAAACACGTCTAATCAAGCAGTTTGAAACTGATGGGTTTGTGTTGAGGAGTCTGTTACTGGATGCTTCCTAAAATAGCAGCAAATAAATCAAGGGCTCCTAAGAGTCATGCTTTGCTCTAAGTACAGGGTGTTGCTGTAGTGGTAGAGATCAAATTCACAGAAACATTGTTATGAGTTTTCAATGACAGCATTACTTCACATTTCTGTGCAACTGATATTGTCTTGATCAGGAATAGAAAATGCTACGTGGAGATTATTCAAAATGTCTGGTCAGAAATCTGGCCAAAATAGCCTTATAGATTTATTCCCTGAGACCTCCCTTCGCCCCCAAACACATGGCAATAATATATAAAATAGGCAAACAGTAAAGAACATGTAAATATAAAAACAAAATTAGAAAGACATTGTGCTTCATTACTGCTAGCTACTGTTAACAATCTCTGAAATCTCAGGGGTAAAATACAATAAGAGCTTATTTCTCACTCACGTAAAGTTCAAGCAGATGTCCAGGGGCTGCCTTCCATGCAGTGACTCAGAGACCCATGCTCCTTCAATTCTGTAATTCTTCCATCTCTGAAGAGTACCTCACTTCCAGCCGATGACTAAGAGAAACAGAGAGCATGGGACATGATGTGGCAGAGTTTTATTCTGAGACAGGTCTAGAAATGTCATGTATCACTTCTGCCCACATTCCTTAGCCATGACTTAGTCATATGGCCATACCAAATTGCAAAGGAGGTTATAAATGTAGGCTAGTTTTGTGCTGTGAAAATAGAAGAAACAGGGGCTTCCCTGGTGGCGCAGTGGTTGAGAGTCCACCTGCTGATGCAGGGGACACGGGTTCGTGCCCCAGTCTGGGAAGATCCCACATGCCGCGGAGCGGCTGGGCCCGTGAGCCATGGTCACTGGGCCTGCGTGTCCAGAGCCTGTGCTCCGCAACGGGAGAGGCCACAACAGTGAGAGGCCCGCGTACCGAAAAAAAAAAAAAAAAAAGAAGAAACAGATTTTAGTAAAAACAAAAATGTCTGCCTACATAGTAAGACATCCTTGTGGTCCAAACACCTCCATGGGGGTACATGTCTCCATGGACCAATGGCAGAGCAAAACCACAAAACAATAAGCAGGAAGTAAAGTAATTGGCCACTACACTGTAGGAATGCAAGCATAAAGAGTAGCAAAAAGATTCAGCTCCTGGAAAATGAATAGTGCTAACAGTGATTCCCATAAATTGAGAGGCTGGGATAGGTTCACTGCTGGAGTCTCTGACTCAAGAAAAATATATATTGAAAAATGCTGCTTGATGGAACCATGTATAAAATACTGCATATCTAGGGAGGTAGATGGACATAGACACAGCCTCTTAATCAGAAACTGAGGCAAGCTTCCATTATATCTGTGATTTCACTGTTATCATCAAAGGTCCAGAGAGGTCCATTCGGGCTTTGTAATGAACAGAGGTGACTGTAATGACAGAGGCAATTGCAAACCCTGTAGACAGGGAGGGGTCAGAATAGAAAGAATGATTTGGGAAAAATTCAAAGACAAGATTATCCTACAAATCCCAATTCCAAAACATATCAAGGAATATAACACTAAGCAAACAAACAGAAAACAGAATGATGACAAAAACAGCTTCCAAAATTAACAATCAGGAAATAAATTGATTCTGGATAAACTTGTAAAGGACATTCTGAAAAAGACCTAAAAATAGTTATGCCTGGAATACTCAGCGAGATAAGGAAATTATATCCATGAAGTAGAACAGGAGATTATATTTCTAAAAATCAGCCAAGCATAAATAAAACAGGAAGATATAAAAAAGAATCAATTAAAATTTTAGAAATAGAAAATATTAAACAAAAATTATCATTGAAAATTTTTAAATATTGGGAGTTTACAAAAAGTGAAAGTACTGCAGTATTAAGGACTGAGGATGCAATTTAAGTGGCAGACACAAATATAATAATTAAAAACCAAGGAAGACTGAAAAGAAATAAGATTTAACTCTAGAGGCTAGGTACACAATAACAGAGTAAACCTAAAGTTAGTAGAAGAAAGGAAATAAGGAGAGGATGTGAGGGGAAGTGATGTTTTTTACCAGCTTGTGATGCCATTTAAGCAAAAGGAGTGTATTTCATTCTTTTTTTTTTTTTTTTTTTTTGCGGTACACGGGCCTCTCACTGTTGTGGCCTCTCCCGCTGCGGAGCACAGGCTCCGGACGCGCAGGCTCAGCGGCCATGGCTCATAGGCCTAGCTGCTCTGCGGCATGTGGGATCCTCCCGGATGGGGTCACGAACCCATGTCCCCTGCATCGGCAGGCGGACTCTCAACCACTGCACCACCAGGGAAGTCCCGAGTGTATTTCATTCTTCATTTTGCTGGCTGGAATGTGGAGGTGATGATGAGACCTGGATACACCATCTGAGAGTGTGGGATGGAAGCCATGAATTGAGGATGGTAGGATGAGATGGACTCTGGTTCCTGACACCATGAAGCCTCTGGATCCACCTGGAATGCTTAAACTGTTAGGAGAGAGAAAATACATTCCTATCATGGTTAAGCCACTGTTCTTTTGGCCTTCGTACATTTCACACGTATAAAGATACATCCAAAGTAATAAAATTATGAAGGTTCAATTCAGCAATATATAAATCTGAGGGAGGATGGGTGCACTGTTGTTTATCTTATTGTTATTCTTTAAACTGTACAATTGATGTGAATCTTTAGTGTCCTCAAGGATGGCTTTTGTATGCAGAAATAATGATTTATGTTTAGTTGTTCCTTAAGAATTAATATTCAATTATTAACATAATTTTAAAAATCTAGTGTACCTTAGAAATGTTATCATTTTATTTCTATGTCTAACTGAGTTTTCTAATAACTTTTTAGGGAACTTTGTAATACTTGTTTTCTTCTACAAACTTAAAAAACCTTTCCTATAGAGTATACCACTCCAATAGTCCAACATTTATAAATATATTGTGCTTTCTTTCTAAGTACATTGTTAGAATTAACAAACAAAACTGCCTCAAGAACTTAAATAACTCTTCAGAAATATATTAAATTAAAAGTACTGAAAAACTTGTTTTAAAAAATGTCTTCAATACATACAATGTCAAATTTATATAAATAATTTATCTTCTCCTTCCTCCTCCTATCTTTTTTAGGATAAATTTTCAATCATGTACGAGAAAGAATAGAATATCCATCACTCAGCTTCAACAATAAAAATTAAATTCTTTTGTCCTTTTGTTTATCTGTTTCTTTCCCCCCTTTCTTTATTTGCTAAAATATTTTCAAAACAAATCCCGGAGAGCTTAACCCCCTGTACACTTCAATATAGCTCTCTAAAAATATAGATATTTCCTTAAAGACCTCAATATCATTATCAAACACAACAAAATTTACAAAAACTTTTTTTGTATCACCCAATTCCATGTCCATAACCACAGTTGCCCAAAAATCTCAAAAAACTCTTTTTACACTTGCTTTGGCCTAATCAGGATTCAAGCAAGGTCACACAACACATTTGATTGTTATGTCTCCTGAGTCTCCTACAAACCAGAGTACTCTACCCTCCCTTTTCCTTTCCTGAAGAAACTGGGTCAGTTGTCTTGTAGATTATTTTCTATTCTGGATTTACATGTTTACTTCCTGGTATCATTTAACATGTTTCTTTATCCCCTCATACTTCTTGTAAACGGAAGTTATCTCTAGACTCTTCAGGTTAAACTTAAAAAAAAAAAACCAAAACACTTTATACAACCCTCAGAACGGGAGAAAATATTTGCAAACAAAGCAACAAACAAGGGATTAATCTCCAAAATATACAAACAGCTCGTGCAGCTCAATATCAAAAACACAAATAACCCAATCGAAAAATGGGGGGAAGATCTAAATAGACATTTCTCCAAAGAAGACATACAGATGCCCAACAAACACATGAAAAGATGCTCAACATCACTAATTATTAGAGAAATGCAAATCAAAACTACAGTGAGGTATCACCTCACAGCTATCAGAATGGCCATCATCAGAAAGTCTACAAATAATAAATGCTGGAGATGGCGTGAAGAAAAGGGAACCCTCCTACACAGTTGGTGGGAATGTAAATAGCAGTCATTCCCCATTCCTGTACAGCCACTATGGAGAACAGTATGGAGGTTCCTTAAAAAACTAAAATTAGAACTACTGTATGACCCAGCAATCCCACTACTGGGCACATACCCTGAGAAAACCATAATTCAAAAAGAGTCATGCACCCCAATGTTCATTGCAGCTCTATTTACAATAGCCAGGACATGGAAGCAACCTAAGTGTCCATCAACAGATGAATGGATAAAGAAGATGTGGCACATATATACAATGGAATATCACTCAGCCATAAAAAGGAACAAAATAGTGCCATTTGCATAGATGTGGATAGACCTAGAGACTGTCATACAGAGTGAAATAAGTCAGAAAGAGAAAAACAAATATCGTATAATGTTGCTTACATGTGGAATCTAGAAAAATGGTACAGATGAACTTATTTGCAAAGAGAAATAGAGACACAGATGTAGAGAACAAACTTATGGATACCAAGGGGAGAAGGGGGATAGGATGAATTGGGAGATTGAGATTGACATATATACACTACTATGTATAAAATAGATAACTAATGAGAACCTATTGTATAGCACAGGGAACTCTACTCAACTACTCAGTGCTCTGTGGTGACCTAAATGCGAAGGAAGTCTAAAAAAGAGGGGATATATGTATACATATAGCTGATTCACTTTGCTGTACAGCAGAAACTAACACATTGTAAAGCAATTTATACTCCAATAAAAATTAATTTAAAAATTGCATAAAGAAGCTTTATGGAGATATTCACACACCATACAATTCACCCACTGAAATGTACAATTCAATTATATCTAGTATATTCACAGGGTTGTCCATCCATCACAACAATCAGTGTAAAATATTTCATCACTCCCAAAAGAAATCCCATACCCATTAGCAGTCATTCCCCATTCCTGCCTCTCACCCCCAGCCCATTCTGTTTCTATGGATTTGCCGATTCTGGACATTTCATATAAATGGAAACATATAATATGTCACTGTTTGTGAATGGCTTCTTTCACTTAGCATAGTGTCTTCAAGGTTCAAACATATTGTGTCCTGTATCAGTACTTCATTCCTTTTCTCTGCTGAATAATATTCCATCATATGGATATACCACATTTTTATCCATTCATTAGTTGATGAACATTTGGGCTGTTTCTACTTTTCTGGGTACTTTTAATAATATCGCTATGGACATTCTCATACTAGCTCTTGTGTGCACATTCGTTTTCATTTTTCCTGACTATATACCTAGGAGTGGACTTACTGGGTCATATGGCAACTCCGTGTTTAATACTGCCAGACTATTTGCCAAAGCGTCTAGACCACTTTACATTCTCACCAGCACTGTTGGCGTGGTCAACTTTTTTTCAAGAAAACTGTGTGTATATATCTACAATTTTAATATAAAATTATCATACAAATTGAATGTTACTATACTCCAGCAATATCTAACTTAAAAATATAATAGAAAATAGGAAATCTTCCATATCAGCAACAGAAACCAAGGAACAAACTCAATAAAAGATGAGAAATTCTGTTTTGGAGAAAAATTAGAAAACATTATTGAAGGAACTATGGAGAAAAACATCCCATGAATTCAAAATTTTAAATATAGGCCTGTCTTTTACCAAAGATCTGCATCCAGGAAGAGATGAGGCCAGAGC